ATCAACAGGTGTGTTTGCACTGGAAATACAAATTGATCAACATAAGCTATTCCCTAGTCATCTGGTAATGTAAGGACTGGAAATTAAATTAAGCAAGCTTACTTGGAGATGGACAGAACTCTGAGACGTAGTGAGGAAGTTAAATTTATGGTTCTGGCTTGATTGTTAAGGGTTAAGAATTTCTCAATCAGCAAATTCTAAGGTACGCTTTTTGAACACTCATTTGAAAAGTTATACACAGATGTTTTGAGTTACATTTTAGTTGTGTTCCAGGACTGTATGTTGAGGAAATACTTCTCTGAGTAGATGGTGGCAGAATTTGCTTGATGAATGTGTTGGAGCTTAAGATGAGTAAGACCTGCAGTAAGGGCAGCTGGCCAAAAGACTTGGGCATTTAGAAGAAGACAAGACCTCATTTATGGTAGAGATGTGTATTTTTATATGTAATATATAGATTATTTAAATATAGACTATCTTAAACTGAGATTCACCGAAAAAACAAGTGTGCTGTATCTTGAATGTAGAGGTACAATCAATTGCTATTGAAAAGTATTGGTGCTTTAAAAATCAGGTCTATATTAGTAACAGAAAAGAAGCTTCATTTGAAAGAAGCACCGCCTTGGTTTCTCAGAGAAAAAGAAGTATATTGATATTTTTGAGAGGTGGTTTCATCCTAAAAACATGTCTGTGTTACAATGTTGCACTGATGATTTTTCTGTGCAGGTAGTATTTCATGCAGTCTTGAGTATACTAAATGACAAGCTATCTCTATTTATGCAAATATTTAAATTAGTAGAACTGCTTATTTGTCAGGGATTTAATGATTAGGCAGTAAATAAACTCACTGTTTAAAAACAATAAAATCAGTTATTTGAACTGAAGGCTTGTTTTTTTGTAAGTATCAGATGTGTCATCTATTTTTTTAATCTTATTTTCCTTGCAGTTGCGCTTTGTAGTTGATGGCCAGTTTACTGAAGGATGATGGTATGATCACTAGTGCACAGAATGCTTTTGGTGTATTAATGAAGCAGCTCCTTCTCCAGGTGCCACGGTTCCTCTGCAGCTCCAAACATTCTGTGTGTGCCTGTGTAGGTACAGACAGATGAACCAATTATTACGGAACAGACTAAGTGGGGTGTTTTTGCAGCTGCTGTGCAGGAGGGGCAGGTGAAGGGGAATGGTAAGGCTGGGGGCGTTGGCACTTCAGTGCAAAGCAGCTGGCACAGTGCGAGTTCACATCCTACTGTAGCCACCGTCACCTCTTCTTCTGCCTTTTAATGTGCTTTTAATGTACTTGTGCAATTTCTCGATCAGCTCTCAGTACTTTACATGATGTTCCATATTACTTTTTAAACAACGTGGTTTGTAGTAGTTTTACATTAACCTTACTTTGAAGGACATGCATTTTTGCCCTCAGAAAATGTCACCATTGGAATATTATCTGGAGTGCTGATAAGCACAGGTGTAAATCAAGGATCAGGGCAATCAGAAATTGTTTTTGTAAGCTGCTGGGGAGGAGCTTGTGGTATTAGAACAAACCTGCTTGTTCTTTTTAACTGTGTTTTGCATATGTGCTAGTAACTGCACTGAGCACATGCCATAGACAAATTGCATGTAATGGTTTCCTGCCACCATTAAAACATGATTACAGAGGGCGATTAAAGCATATATCTTGTTTTCTGTAATGCAGCTGCCTGTTTATAGCAGTGTATTTAAATTTTACTTCTGTCACTCTACACCAACGTAATAACCTTGTAAACTACATGACCTAGAAATAAAGAAGGAAAAGTTTAATGAAATGTTGACACCTGAGTGGTCAGTAAAATGAGATTTGGGATCCCTTCCCAAGAGGGGGTGCTCTTGAGGTTTTCTGATGCAGTTATTGCCCTCATGTCAGTAATGGTAAGCAGAAAATTTTTTGAGTTGGTGTTCAGTTTTTAGTGGTAATCATCTCAGAATTTGTACCATTTACAGATGGCAACACTTTAAAACCCACTTTGTAGTCCCCATCCTGCCAGCCAAGTGAAACTGATGAAGTGCTCACATCAAATTGCAACCCCCAAGGGTTTAACCTTTAACTGGTGACAAACAGCTGCACACCTGTAATTATACTTCATTACTATTTTCAGCTGCTAAAAACTGTATGTGTGGCACATTGCAAATTATTCCTTTTCCTACCAACTTTTCTGTGCCCGTAGGGCAGAGAGCATGTCCATGTGCTCTAGCAACTGGAGTTGCCTGCATGTACATAATTGTGTTTGCTTTTGAGGGAGAAGATGATGTAATTGGTCTTGTCTGAAAAGATAGAATGGTCAAAATTGGGGTTTTCAGGTCATGATTCTTTGTTTTGTTCTTGGCTGATGGAATGGTAGGCTATTACTCGTGATTTTTTTCTCTAAAACAGATTTTTCTTTCTCTTGTCTTTAGTCAGAGACTTACCAAGATTTCTGCAATCACAGCGTGCTTTCCTCTGCCTGCCAACTTGTCTTTCAGTCTGTCAGTTTTGGCTGCTTTCAGCTGAATTTACAAAGGCATTGAGGTGTCAACATTTTTTAATTAAAATTTTCTGAAAATAGGTAGGCTTGAGGTATATTAATAAATACATCTTAATGAAGGTTAAATTAGACAGCAGATAAATGGTGGAGATGTGTAGTCTTGTGGAAAAAAAGTCCACAGGAGTCCAGGCTTTCCTGATCCCATTGTGTGTGGTGCAACCTCCAATGGCGGTAAAGTTCCTGTTTTGTTTTTATTTGTTTGTTATTTGAAACTGGCACCTATTCATGGTGAATAATAACAACACCAAGAGTAAATCTCATGGAGTGAGGAGTCTGAGGTTTTCCTGCTGCTGAGAGTGGCATGTTTAGTCAAGGCTATTGACCCAGCACTCAGTGACCCTGCCTGTCTGCAGGCCCGGCTTGGCTAAACAGGCAGCAATATGATGTGAATCAGGGTTAAAAATAAGTGGTTGTATATTACAGCTTTCTAAACACTGAGTTTTATTCACACACATGGACTTTGTCTGATTGCAAGATACAGCTGTCACAGTTGATTTTAGTTTTAGGTTAACCTTGGGAATAAAGAACTAAAACAATGCTAACAAAGTGACAGCAGTTCACATGGTTCCATTTAAAAAAAGGATGTAAAAAAATCGCACTGGTAGAGAAGGAAAAAAAATCTTACTTTAAACCTTTTTTTCTATAGGGAAAAGATAATACAAAAAGGTGAAAACAATGAATCAGGTGGATACTCTGGAGTTGAATCAACAGCCTAGCTTGGTCTCTGTTGTTATGATAAATAGCACTGTATCTTGAGCTTTACCTTATTTTCCAAATTTACTTTTGTGTGAAAATGAAACATAGTGAGAAAAGGTGTTTACCTTATATCTTCTGAAAGCTCAGAATAAACTTCTGCAGCAGATAGCAGTAATGAGGATTGTCCAACAAACCCCAGGGATCTAAACTAAAATTCAGTTTTGGCTGAATTAAGGGCATGGCCCTCAATAGAATTTCCATTAAAAAAATAATCGTCTCACTGTTATAGATACCAATTCTAAAGAGCAGATGTAGGGCCCTGACTGGCTTGTAAGGTGTTGCAGATACTATTTTACAGCTCAGTAATAATTTTGGAGGGATCACATCTGCAGTCTTTTACTTCATAGCAACATCACATGCTCTTGCTTCTTCAGCTTTGTTTTTCCAGATCCATAAGGCTCAGCTTGGGTTATTGTTCATCTATGACATGTTATTGCCTCTTTTCCTCACTACAGAGCTTGTTGTTCACATTCCTGGTCAGTCCTGAAGCACCGTAGTTCCTGTACCTCACTGATTCACTGAGGTGATTGAACCCACTTTGGCACTACAGAGCAGGGGCACAGATTTGGAATGGACAAGGCAGTGGGGCCTGCAACTGGGAAAAAGGGTTTCAGATTTTCCTGCCTACTTTTTAAGTTTGTTCTTCAGCATATCATAGCCAGAGGTGATTCTGTAGGGTAGGTATGATTATTGCATTGGTACTGAGAGTCAGGGACAATAGCTAAGGAAAAAAGCAACTGCAAAACATAACCTGCCCAGGATGTTACCTGCAGCTGAAGGAAGTACAGTGAACTAGTTTTTTTCCTTTGTTAGGATGCGCTTGGATTTGGCCATGGGGACTGCTGCTTGTCCTAAGGGGTTAGGAGTCCATCCTCTTCTTGGATGGAGGTATGTGTGTGGCTTTGTTTTGGAGTCGGGGATAATACAAAAAAAGCTTTACTATCTTGAAACAGGAATATATACGATAGTATTGTGAGGTATTTTATTCCCTTTTGTTGTGAGCAAAGCTGTAACAAGTTGTTTTATACATTGCACACAGGTAAGCCATTAACAAAGCAAATAGCTAGATGAAGAAAAAGTAGGGGTAGAATTGCCCCTGCTTTGTTTCCCAGATCAACATTCAGGCCCCCTCTGCCTAGCACCATGTTTCCTCAAAGGCCCATAATAGTGATAGGTGTCTTACCAGCACATCAAACTTCCAATAATGGAAGTTTTACATCACCCTCATGACAAAGTGTTTCTTAAGACACAAGGAAAAGCATCTAAGCCTAGTAGACATAGTGCTGCCAACCTTCTAAGTGGGCCACCAGCTTATCCAAAAGGCTGTGCTAGCTGCTGTCAGCCAGATATGTGAAATGTGTAGTTCTGCTGCAGGCTGTAACAGTTGATCTCTGTCTACTGAGCCCCAGAAGAGAGAGGGAGAGACTGAAATTCCAACAAGAAACTGAAAGTCAGGTTGGGATGTGTAGCAAGCAGGATGAAAACTTGAGGCTTCAGTAGTACCTTCAGCTTAGAGCAATTTAGTTACCGAAACGCTCTACAAATGAATCACAAATAGCTGTGGTTCTCGTAACATACAGGTTTTCTTTCAAGTTCTTAAAACAAACAGCAGAATGTCACCACAGCCTTTAATTTCTTCTTGTACATACCATTCACAGTACATTAACAGCCCAAATAATATTGCACTGGATTATTTTAAAAATTTTTCATCTTGCAAGTAGTATTCACTTTTCAAAGCCAACAGATAACTTGGTCAAGTTGCACCAAGAAAATGGTTAGATAAGAATCCTATACTTTATTTATACCACATGGATTTGTAACCCCAAAGGGAAATGAGAATGAGCTGTAAACTGTTTCCTTGTTAAAGATAGAAAATTAGTAAATCCTTGCTGATTAAATGTAGAAAGACTGGGAAAAAAAAACATGAAATCTGAAAGTTATTTCATTCCTGTTAGACTGCTTGCTGTATATATAATTATATTCTATACTGTGAATGTCCATCTACATTTAGAAATCCAGCAGTCTAGAGATTAACATGGTAAAAAAAAAATAATATATTTTTATGAAAAGAGAAGAAATAAGTGTTTGCCTCAGAGGGGAAATTTTTCAGATTTCAGTCATCTGGGGGCTTTTTAGGTGCAATCTTTGAGGCAACAAAATGTCTTTTGGCATTTGGCACTCTAATAAAGGACAATATTTTAATACTGGCACAAGCTAAAAACAGCACAGAATGACAAAATACAAGACATGAAACGAACCGCAGCCACTGGGATGATGGTAAGCTAGTTTGAATATACAGAGAACTTAAACAGTTTCGCTGATGAATTGTGAATGTTTCTGCAAAACCATATTTATTCTCCTCTTTTACCAAATCGTAAGTTTTCCTAAACATGGAGGGAGAAAAGTTTCAAATGTCCTCTAGAAAATCAGCAGCTGCTGGACAATCAACACGGCGGCTTGTTAAGCCATCAATAGGCGTGAGGCTCTTTATGACTCAGAGCTCGGGTGCGTGAGGCAGAGCTGGTGGCACTTCGGATCACTTCCATCCATCTGTGAGGAGGCACGAGGAGGGACACAAATAAAAGAATGGTCAATTCTCAAGGGAAGATTTCTTGAAAGATATGTTCTGCGCTATTAGTTGTACAGTTTTATTTTCTGTGTCTACAGGAGC